CGTTATCGAACACGGTTGTTCAATTCGTCAAGGATCCATCACCTTGACCCCAGTGCGAAAGACTATCGCGCTGAGAATGAGTTCTTCATCGATTCTTTCTTTAGACATCGATGGTACAGTGGGAATCACAAGCGTGATGGTCCCTCACTACTTCAAGCGTGGAACGCCTACATCCATAACCTTGAGGATGTAGGTCGTGACGCTTGGAATGACAAACTTATCAAAGCTCGTGATAAGTTTGAAAAGCGAACCCCGACAGGTGCACGCTACAAGCTGCATCGTCTATCAAGGGAAAAGGGATTACCCTGCCTCTCATGGGGAGACTCGTGCCCATGTTGTGTGAACAACTCTGCACGAGCACCTAAGGAGGCTTACCTTCTTACTAGCCCGTGGTGGCGCGCACGTATCTCTAATGAGATGTACGAAGGGATTGACAACCTGAAATCCCTTTACGACCGTGCCGGGAAGACTTTCTCCGGCGGTCCTTCTGCGGCACAGGATGTGCCGCATCGTACTGCTCGTACAGACCCAGTACGTCAACCATCAGCTGGGAGCGGGGCTCCCAAGAATCCCACGACGGGGGATAGCCGCGCCACCGGACGAGATGACTCGTCCGACGTCCGTTCACGTCGCGGTGGCTCAACAGCTGCTCAAGTAGATAGCGCTGGCCACCGCGAGAGTCCTCTAATGCAGGTGGAGGAGGAGGAGGAAAGACGCTCTCCAAACTATCGTGGGGATCGGTGTGTTCCCGAGAGCTTCTTTGATCGCGTAACGCAAGAGTTACGCTACGATCTCGAACATTAGCGGAATAGACGTCTCCAATGTCGGACACTGCCTCGAAGCATCGAGCTGAGTTTGCCTTTGCTCAGCTTGAGAACGAGAGAGCTCTGACGTCTCTGCGTGACGAGCTAAGGGTAGCTCGTGGGTATGTTGATCGGTCTCGGGATGAGATAGCTGCTCTTCAGACCCTTGTTGATGCCCACCATCGGGAGCACAAGGCTCTCTGTGAGATGCTTGAGCGCAAGAGCGTTCTTCTTCGGAAGAAGCAGCGTACTGATGGTACGGCTTAAGCCGACCAACGTAAAACGTGGGATGCGTTCGCATCTTACGTGGTAACTCAATCGTGTATGCGTTGCCTAGGCGGTGCAATACACGAAATGGGCCGATGTGCTTGGGTAGATGTTTACTGCTACCCAAGTTAGTCACTACATGCTTTGGTAGATTAACCGTAGACAGTAGGACTAAGTCACCTTTATTAAATAAAAGAGTGTTTGCCCTTCCATTCTTGTCAGCGTTTTGCTTTTGCTTATCCACCGCTTCGGCGATGGAGTCTTGCACAAAATGGACTACCGTTTTACGAGCCAGTATGAACTCATCTGGTGACTCGTTAGCTTCATTGCGCTGTGAGTGCACTGCAGCAACATCAATCTTTTCTTCAGTGAGGGCTTCCGCACTCTCACTGGCACCATCTTCTTCGATATCGATGTTATCGGCATCAAACGCAGTGACTTCTTCGTCAGAGCGTGATGAGCGTGAACCAATTCGGTTTTTGCTCGCGCGAGTCTCTCCCCCCTTAAACCAGAGTTACACTCTAGTAAGGTGGGTACACGCGGACGGCGCAAGCCATTCACGTAAAACGGTGTATGTGTCGTGGACGCATGCACCGAGTTGTTAATGGCAAACTCTACCATTGGCAAGAACTCAATCCAAGTCTTAAAGTAGTGTACGTATCCTCGAAGTATCTCTTCAAGGACACGATTGGCACGTTCCGTCTGACCATCTGACTCTGGATGATCAGATGTTGACATCTTCAAGCGCGTTCCGAGTGATTTGAACACGGAACGCCAGAAATCAGCAGTGAATCGTGGATCTCTGTCTGATACGAGTTCACGGGGCAACCCATGAAGTCGGAAGATGGTGTCAATAAAGACACAAGCACAGCCACTTGCCGTGATTGTCTCTGGTACAGCCACAAGGTGTACCATTTTGCTGAATCTGTCAACAAATACGAGAATACCCGTATTCCCGCGTGCGTCTTTGGGTAACCCGAAGACGAAATCCATTGAGATGGATTCCCAGCACTCAGCCGGAACCGGTAGAGGCTGTAAAGGTGCACGCAGTGAAGGATTTGACTTCACTCGTTGACAGACTTCGCATGCGCGAACATACTTTCGCACAAACTGATACTGGCGGGGCCAGTAAAAGTCTCGACTCACCGTGAGATATGTTTTCTCTCGGCCACGATGTCCTCCTATAGGGGCATCGTGGTACTCGAACATGATCCGCAAACGCAGATCAGTATCATCTGGAATGACAACACGTGGTGTGTCACCAGAAGCGGCTGTTTAATGCAGTAAACCGTTGCGAGTAGTGTATCTATCTGATGCAGATCGATACGCAGGCGACAATCGTTTCAACGATTCTCGAGATGGCTGTGAGGGATGTGTCAACGACTTCACAATCTCACCATCTTGGGCGTATGCCCGCCTCACATCATCATACAACGTTGAAGATGGTACTGAGGAAGTCATAACCGCAACAGTGACTGTCTCACTGTTGGGTTTCACGACTGGTTCAAAGTCGGGACGACATGAGAGTGCATCAGCAACGACATCAAGTCGTCCTGGTTTGTAATCTACCTTAAAAGTGTATTCTGCAAAGAATGACAACCACCGCGCGATTCGTTGTGAAAGGTGCGGGCTGTTTGCTGCCTTGCGTAATGACGCATGGTCAGTGTAAACAATGAAGGGTCTATCTCCTAATAGATAGACTCTGAACTTCGCGAGTGCATACTTCATGGCAAGGAGTTCCTTGTCATGCACTGGATAGTTCCGCTCAGCTGGTTGCAGCTGACGCGACTGATAGCAGACGACGCGTTCGACGCCTTCTAGGTCGTACTGCATTAATGCACAGCCGATTGCGAAATCGCTGGCATCACAGACCACATGAAATGGCCTGTCCTGATCGGCAATTGCTAGGACTGGGGATTGTATCAAGCTCTGCTTGATACCATCAAAGGAGCGCTGACATTCAGCGTTCCATAACCACCTCTCGTTCTTTTTCAACAAACGAGAGAGGTGTACAGTCATCTCGGCGTAATTGCGTGAATACTTGTGCAAATACGCCGCTAGCCCAAGGAATTTTCGAAGACCTTTGACATCAACCGGCACAGGCCAGTCGGTTATCGCCTTGATCTGTTCGGGATCAGGACGTACACCGTTATTACCAACGATGCACCCAAGAAGTGGTATTTCGCTTGCTGCAAGTACACACTTCTTGAGGTTTGCATACAATTGATGCTTTTGCATGATTGTAAGAACCTGTCGGACGTGGTACCTGTGAACCTCAACATCCGAATTTCCATCCATAGCTCGACTATGGATGAATACGTCATCGAAATAACACGGCGCGAATTCTCGTACTGGTCTCAACAGATGTGATACACATCTGTTGAACGTGGCAGGGGCATTACTGAGCCCTTGTGGCATTACTAGCCATTCCCAGAGCATGCCGCTAGGCGTGCTAACTGCGGTATAGAGTATATCCCGTTCTCGCATAAGGATCTGATAGAAGCCATCCATCAAATCCATGGACGAAAAGATGGTGCTCTTTGACATACCATCAATGATTACGTCCTTCATTGGTATCGGCGTCTGAGCCGGTACCGTTGCAGCATTCAACTTGTTAAATGCATGCACTATCCGCCACCCTCCTGTTGCCTTTTGCACACAGAAGGTCGGAGAGCTATGTGGAGAAGTTGATTCCCTCACATAGCCTGCAGCTAAACGATCGGCAAACAACTTGTCGATCGCAAGTACTTGTTCACGATGCAGTGGCCACTGCTTCATGACACAGTACTTCGAGCCTGGTTTAAGCTCGACCTCGTGTCGAATATCTTTATCCTTCGGTAATCCGCACGGGACAGTTTCAGGGAATACATCCTTGAATTCAACCAAATCTTCATAGAGAGGATTTGTCTTGAGCGATTCCCACGATTGGGAGTCATATCGCTCAACTCGTGTCTTTTCATCGAGGAAACTCTCGTCCATAGATGAACTACTGAGAACTCTCTCGTTCTCTGTGAACACTGTTGCTGACCTTATGTCGGCTACGCACTCGTCGTCAGCGACGGGTACGCAGATCTGCTTGACTTTGCCACTATGCAGATCACGCAAGAACCTTTTAAGTTCGAGTGTTGGCAACTGAGTGATCTCCGAAGTCAACTTCGTAGGCGCAATCAGATCAAGTGTATAAGCGCCTACACTTGATCCGTAATTGACTATGACAATCAGTGTCTCTGTCATTTCCTGGGGACTTATTCCCTCAGGCCTCGAAGAACTTATTCCTTCGGCTTCCTGGGGACTTATTCCCTCGGGTTTCGGGGAACTTATTTCCGCCGTATTTGTAATATCGGGACTTATTCCCTTGACTTCCTCTAGCTGTGGTTGCTCAACCACAGCGAGATCCTCTACGAAAGACTCTCCAGTCGATCTAGGATTATCGTTTCGCTTAACCTGAGCGATCGATCGTTTCTCTTCTAGATGTTCCCCGCTAGGGATACATCTTTGTCCCAGTCCACTCGACTTATTCGAGTGGTGGACCTTCGGCGCAGCCTGTGTTTCCTCACAGCCGCCGGGACTTTGCTCCGAAGTGTAACCGTTTGCTACACTAAGGTTTTGTGCATTCGTACTAACGACCGTACCACAAGTGAGGCCATCACACTCACTCGTAGTATACCTTTATAAAACGAACCCCGACAGGTGCTCGCTACAAGCTGCATCGTCTGTCAAGGGAGAAAGGGGTACCCTGCCTCTCCTGGGGAGACTCGTGCCCTTGTTGTGTGAAAAACTCTGCGCGCGCACCTAAGGAGGCTTACCTTCTTACTAGCCCGTGGTGGCGCGCACGTATCTCTAATGAGATGTACGAAGGGATTGACAACCTGAAATCCCTTTACGACCGTTCCGGGAAGACTTTCTCCAGCGGTCCTTCTGCGGCACAGGATGTGCCGCGTCGTACTGCTCGTACAGACCCAGTACGTCAACCATCAGCTGGGAGCGGGGCTCCCAAGAATCCCACGACGGGGGATAGCCGCGCCACCGGACGAGATAACTCGTCCGACGTCCAGTTCACGTCGCGGTGGCTCAACAGCTGCTCAAGTAGATAGCGCTGGCCACCGCGAGAGTCCTCTAATGCAGGTGGAGGAGGAGTGAAACCGCTCTCCAAACTATCGTGGGGATCGGTGTGTTCCCGAGAGCTTCTTTGATCGCGTAACGCAAGAGTTACGCTACGATCTCGAACATTAGCGGAATAGACGTCTCCAATGTCGGACACTGCCTCGAAGCATCGAGCTGAGTTTGCCTTTGCTCAGCTTGAGAACGAGAGATCTCTGACATCTCTTCGTGACGAGCTAAGGGTAGCTCGTGGGATTGTTGATCGGTCTCGGGATGAAATAGATGCTCTTCAGACCCTTGTTGATGCCCACCATCGGGAGCACAAGGCTCTCTGTGAGATGCTTGAGCGCAAGAGCGTTCTTCTTCGGAAGAAGCAGCGTACTGATGGTACGGCTTAAACCGACCAACGTAAAACGTGGGATGCGTTCGCATCTTACGTGGTAACTCGATCGTGTATGCATTGCCTAGGCGGTGCAATACACGAAATGGGCCAATGTACTTGGGTAGTAGTTTACTGCTACCCAAGTTAGTCACTACATGCTTTGGTAGATTAACCGTAGACAGTAGGACTAAGTCACCTTTATTAAATAAAAGAGTGTTTGCCCTTCCATTCTTGTCAGCGTTTTGCTTTTGCTTATCCACCGCTTCGGCGATGGAGTCTTGCACAAAATGGACTACCGTTTCACGAGCCAGTATGAACTCATCTGGTGACTCGTTAGCTTCATTGCGCTGTGAGTGCACTGCAGCAACATCAATCTTTTCTTCAGTGAGGGCTTCCGCACTCTCACTGGCACCATCTTCTTCGATATCGATGTTATCGGCATCAAACGCAGTGACTTCTTCGTCAGAGCGTGATGAGCGTGAACCAATTCGGTTTTTGCTCGCGCGAGTCTCTCCCCCTTAAACCAGAGTTACACTCTAGTAAGGTGGGTACACGCGGACGGCGCAAGCCATTCACGTAAAACGGTGTATGTGTCGTGGACGCATGCACCGAGTTGTTAATGGCAAACTCTACCATTGGCAAGAACTCAATCCAAGTCTTAAAGGAGTGTACGTATCCTCGAAGTATCTCTTCAAGGACACGATTGGCACGTTCCGTCTGACCATCTGACTCTGGATGATCAGATGTTGACATCTTCAAGCGCGTTCCGAGTGATTTGAACACGGAACGCCAGAAATCAGCAGTGAATCGTGGATCTCTGTCTGATACGAGTTCACGGGGCAACCCATGAAGTCGGAAGATGGTGTCAATAAAGACACAAGCACAGCCAATTGCCGTGATTGTCTCTGGTACAGCCACAAGGTGTACCATTTTGCTGAATCTGTCAACAAATACGAGAATACCCGTATTCCCGCGTGCGTCTTTGGGTAACCCGAAGACGAAATCCATTGAGATGGATTCCCAGCACTCAGCCGGAACCGGTAGAGGCTGTAAAGGTGCACGCAGTGAAGGATTTGACTTCACTCGTTGACAGACTTCGCATGCGCGAACATACTTTCGCACAAACTGATACTGGCGGGGCCAGTAAAAGTCTCGACTCACCGTGAGATATGTTTTCTCTCGGCCACGATGTCCTCCTATAGGGGCATCGTGGTACTCGAACATGATCCGCAAACGCAGATCAGTATCATCTGGAATGACAACACGTGGTGTGTCACCAGAAGCGGCTGTTTAATGCAGTAAACCGTTGCGAGTAGTGTATCTATCTGATGCAGATCGATACGCAGGCGACAATCGTTTCAACGATTCTCGAGATGGCTGTGAGGGATGTTTCAACGACTTCACAATCTCACCATCTTGGGCATACGCCCGCCTCACATCATCATGCAACGTTAAAGATGGTACTGATGACGTCATAATCGCAACAGTGACTGTCTCACTGTTGGGTTTCACGACTGGTTCAAAGTCGGTACGACGTGAGAGTGCATCAGCGACGACGTGAAGTCGTCCTGGTTTGTAATCTACCGTAAAGTTGTATTCTGCAAAGAATGACAACCACCGCGCGATTCGTTGTGAAAGGTGCGGGCTGTTTGCTGCCTTGCGTAATGACGCATGGTCAGTGTAAATAACGAAGGGTCTATCTCCTAATAGATAGACTCTGAACTTCGCGAGTGCATACTTCATGGCAAGGAGTTCCTTGTCATGCACTGGATAGTTCCGATCAGCTGGTTGCAGCTGACGCGACTGATAGCAGACGACGCGTTCGACGCCTTCTAGGTCGTACTGCATTAATGCACAGCCGATTGCGAAATCGCTGGCATCACAGACCACATGAAATGGCCTGTCCTGATCGGCAATTGCTAGGACTGGGGATTGTATCAAGCTATGCTTGATACCATCAAAGGAGCGCTGACATTCAGCGTTCCATAACCACCTCTCGTTCTTTTTCAACAAACGAGAGAGGTGTACAGTCATCTCGGCGTAATTGCGTGAAAACTTGTGCAAATACGCCGCTAGCCCAAGGAATTTTTGAAGACCTTTGACATCAACCGGCACAGGCCAGTCGGTTATCGCCTTGATCTGTTCGGGATCAGGACGTACACCGTTATTACCAACGATGCACCCAAGAAGTGGTATTTCGCTTGCTGCAAATATACACTTCTTGAAATTTGCATACAATTGATGCTTTCGCATGATTGTAAGAACCTGTCGGAAGTGGTACCTGTGAACTTCAACGTCCGACTTTCCATCCATAGCCCGACTATGGATGAATACGTCATCGAAACAACACGGCGCGAATTCTCGTACTGGTCTCAACAGATGTGATACACATCTGTTGAACGTGGCAGGGCATTACTAAGCCCTTGTGATATTACTAGCCAGAGCATGCCGCTGGGCGTGCTAGCTGCGGTATAGAGTATATCCCGTTCTCGCATAAGGATCTGATAGAAGCCATCCATCAAATCCATGGACGAAAAGATGGTGCTCTTTGACATACCATCAATGATTACGTCCTTCATTGGTATCGGCGTCTGAGCCGGTACCGTTGCAGCATTCAACTTGTTGAACGCGTGCACTATCCGCCACCCTCCTGTTGCCTTTTGCACACAGAAGGTCGGAGAGCTATGTGGAGAAGTTGATTCCCTCACATAGCCTGCAGCTAAACGATCGGCAAACAACTTGTCGATCGCAAGTACTTGTTCACGATGCAGTGGCCACTGCTTCATGACACAGTACTTCGAGCCTGGTTTAAGCTCGACCTCGTGTCGAATATCTTTATCCTTCGGTAATTCGCACGGAACAGTTTCAGAGAATACATCCTTGAATTCAACCAAATCTTCATAGAGAGGATTTGTCTTGAGCGATTCCCACGATTGGGAGTCATATCGCTCAACTCGTGTCTTTTCATCTAGGAAACTCTCGTCCATAGATGAACTACTGAGAACTCTCTCGTTCTCTGTGAACACTGTTGCTGACCTTATGTCGGCTACGCACTCGTCGTCAGCGACGGGTACGCAGATCTGCTTGACTTTGCCACTATGCAGATCACGCAAGAACCTTTTAAGTTCGAGTGTTGGCAACTGAGTGATCTCCGAAGTCAACTTCGTAGGCGCAATCAGATCAAGTGTATAAGCGCCTACACTTGATCCGTAATTGACTATGACAATCAGTGTCTCTGTCATTTCCTGGGGACTTATTCCCTCAGGCCTCGAAGAACTTATTCCTTCGGCTTCCTGGGGACTTATTCCCTCGGGTTTCGGGGAACTTATTTCCGCCGTATTTGTAATATCGGGACTTATTCCCTTGACTTCCTCTAGCTGTGGTTGCTCAACCACAGCGAGATCCTCTACGAAAGACTCTCCAGTCGATCTAGGATTATCGTTTCGCTTAACCTGAGCGATCGATCGTTTCTCTTCTAGATGTTCCCCGCTAGGGATACATCTTTGTCCCAGTCCACTCGACTTATTCGAGTGGTGGACCTTCGGCGCAGCCTGTGTTTCCTCACAGCCGCCGGGACTTTGCTCCGAAGTGTAACCGTTTGCTACACTAAGGTTTTGTGCATTCGTACTAACGACCGTACCACAAGTGAGGCCATCGCACTCACTCGTAGTACATCTTTATAAAACGAACCCCGACAGGTGCTCGCTACAAGCTGCATCGTCTGTCAAGGGAGAAAGGATTACCCTGCCTCTCCTGGGGAGACTCGTGCCCTTGTTGTGTGAAAAACTCTGCGCGCGCACCTAAGGAGGCTTACCTTCTTACTAGCCCGTGGTGGCGCGCACGTATCTCTAATGAGATGTACGAAGGGATTGACAACCTGAAATCCCTTTACGACCGTTCCGGGAAGACTTTCTCCAGCGGTCCTTCTGCGGCACAGGATGTGCCGCGTCGTACTGCTCGTACAGACCCAGTACGTCAACCATCAGCTGGGAGCGGGGCTCCCAAGAATCCCACGACGGGGGATAGCCGCGCCACCGGACGAGATAACTCGTCCGACGTCCGTTCACGTCGCGGTGGCTCAACAGCTGCTCAAGTAGATAGCGCTGGCCACCGCGAGAGTCCTCTAATGCAGGTGGAGGAGGAGTGAAACCGCTCTCCAAACTATCGTGGGGATCGGTGTGTTCCCGAGAGCTTCTTTGATCGCGTAACGCAAGAGTTACGCTACGATCTCGAACATTAGCGGAATAGACGTCTCCAATGTCGGACACTGCCTCGAAGCATCGAGCTGAGTTTGCCTTTGCTCAGCTTGAGAACGAGAGATCTCTGACATCTCTTCGTGACGAGCTAAGGGTAGCTCGTGGGATTGTTGATCGGTCTCGGGATGAAATAGATGCTCTTCAGACCCTTGTTGATGCCCACCATCGGGAGCACAAGGCTCTCTGTGAGATGCTTGAGCGCAAGAGCGTTCTTCTTCGGAAGAAGCAGCGTACTGATGGTACGGCTTAAACCGACCAACGTAAAACGTGGGATGCGTTCGCATCTTACGTGGTAACTCGATCGTGTATGCATTGCCTAGGCGGTGCAATACACGAAATGGGCCAATGTACTTGGGTAGTAGTTTACTGCTACCCAAGTTAGTCACTACATGCTTTGGTAG